AGTGTGAGTTGAGAGTCATTCACCTAATAATTAGTAATTAGTAATTGGTGCAGCTATAAACCCAACGGAGCCTCTGGCTTTTAGGCTCCTAAAGAGTTTTCAAATTAGTTTAATTAGCTAATAATATGCAATAATAATATAATAAGAATCCTTGTATTTGATATAACGACGTCTCAAAGCGTCGCACAGAACACACTGTAAAGTGAATCGCGTGTATATTTTGTGGGAGAAACACAGGCAGCCAATTGCGCACAGCGGCGTCCCACAAACAGTCGTGGATCCTTACAAATTTATTTATTTCGTTTTCAAAGCTCTTGTCAGGAAGATTGCTGTGAGGTCGGACGGGGTGGGGTGGGGGGGCTGTGGCGGGGAATGTTAACGTGGCTGCAAGTCAGGGTACTGCGAAATCCTACAAACAGCAGAAAAAAGACTTGGGGTTTACCCAAATTACTTCCAAATGTGTTTTGGGGAACAGGTGCTCTACTCATAGTGCTGACAATTAATTTGACATTAAAATACTGCTGGTGCGGGAAACAGGGAAACCACTCCCCAGTGTCTCTCACACACACACACACACACACACACGACAGTTGCGAAACCCTTTACAGTTTTTAATTCACTTTGCTTACAAGCTCAGCCCCGTTTCTGACCCCCTTTTCGTGGGTTCTGGTTTAAGTGACGGACTGGCGGTTTTCTGCGGTCGACGAACCAGTCCTCTGGCGTTGCACGAAATATTTCTACAAGACCCAACTCGACAGCGAAATGGTATCTTCCACTTTTGATTACTTAGGCCCTCGAGGCTCGATGATTCCCTCTCATTGCTGACATGCATTCGTCGCCCCACCCCAATGCTGGGAGTGCCGCTGCCTGCCAGCGTTGTAAATGTCAGGTGCAAATAGAGAATTAATTCCGAGAAATTAATGAGAAAGCCCAAACCAAAGATTACACTTTTGCTGACTGTGGTTAAAGTCTGGTTTGTGCTGATGTCAGCTGAGGCGGAGGTTACAGATACACTGTAGGTGGGCCCTGGGGTAGGGTGGAGATGTCAATTTGGGGGCGCTCTCCTGATTAGTATCTCTCAAGCACCGAAGCAAGACAACATGTCTCGTCAGGAACCGGTTCCTTCCAAAGATCCCCTCCCCTCCCTCGCCCATACAAACACTCAGGTGCACACACACGCTCACAAACACGCACACACTCACTCAGAGATGTACACACACTCACACAAACGTACACACAACCACAAACACACACACACACACACACTTACGCAGAGATATACACACTCACACAAACGTACACACGCTCACACACGCACACACACACACGCTCACAATCACGCACACACACACACACACACACACACACTCACAAAACAGGTACTCGCACAAACACACAGCCTCACATCGACACATACTCACACTCACACAGACACTCACATGTCCATTCATACTCACACACACTCACAGACACACACTCAGAGACAAACACGCACAAACGCACACACTCGTTCCACATACTTACACAAACATACACGCACTCACACACAGATGAATGCACACATACAAACACACCCGGTATTGCATTGGAGCATCGGTCTTGATTGTGAGCACAGCATTAATTGCCTCCGAAGACAAACTAAACTGATACAAGCGTTTGAGCAAGTACTGTACTTGTGAACCCAGAGCCCTAGTTTAGTGTCTCCCACCTCGTGTCTCCCTACACGATGCTGGAGCTGTTCAGTGGAGGAGCATCGCTGCCGATGGTGGAGCAGAGGGCATGAGGGATGTGAGCTAATGGAGGCAGCCGAGCAAGATGCTACTAGTTTACTCCCCGCACACCCAACACCTTTCTAAAATAATCCCTCCTTTGCCTTTCTTGTCCTTATTTTGAAGCAATGACTCCTCATTTTCCCTCTATTGCAAAAAGCAATTGTTACGGCAAACGGCCACCGATTTTCACAAAACACACAGTCGCTACACTCTACAGTGTATCCTGTGAAGCACTTCACGGAATATACTGTAAAGTGAACTGACCGTATATTTGTGGGCGAAACGCGGCAGCCAATTGCGTACAGCACCGTCCCCGCAAACAGTCGTGGATTGAAGTGACCAATTTATTATTTTTTTTATTGAGGGATTACTATCGGACGTGTGGAGCCCAAGGTTTCGCCCGGCCGGGAATCGAACCCAGGTCTCTCACTTGCAAGGCGAGTGCTCTAACCACTGAGCTGCAGGATTCCACGATAAATGCTTTGGAGATTTTATCTCTGAATTTCTTTGGGTGTTGGCCATCAAACACCTTTCCCCTGGATAGAGATAGAGAGGGCGAGACGGAATGGATAGAGAAGGGCGGGGTGGGGGTTGTGGGGGTGGGGGGGGGGTGGGGGGGGAGAGTTGTGGGAGGGCTGAAGATCACTGCATCTTCACTTTCCCAAGGTAGGCACTGAATGCATTGTGTGAACGCACGCTGAGTGAAACTATTCACCCAGAAGCAACCACACCCATTCGCTGATAATTGCCATACCTCACTAATACCTTGCGAAACAAAATCGAGCCAAGTTACCTGCTAGCTCTCCGTTCGCGAACCAACCTTCATTGCCGCTACTCCGATTGAAATTTGGGTCATTTACTTATCCGAAATAAAACATATTATTACCGTGACACCGGCCGAACAGAATTAGCTGAGCGGGTGGGCTTTTTGCTCTGAAAGCAATTGGGTCCATCAAGGCGAGGCGTGGTTTGTACCTGTCTTATGCTCTGCAATTTGGGAGATGTTCGGGTGATTGAGAAAAGGATTGTCTTATCACCCGGGGCCTGGGTGAAGCAAGGAACTGTTAATTTGTGGCATACAAGGTACACCCACTTTTATATTGGATTCCTGCCATCTTTCCTTCCACGCAGATTGCTTTTTCTCTACTTGTGTAACAAATAATTAATGCGCAAACATCGAACAATATACGAGCTTGAAAAGCATTTGCCTTCCCTGTGGGGTGAGCTCTGCTACCTCGCCCGAACGTGAGCGTCCAAAGGTGGAGGAACAGCCCAGGTCAACCCAATCCTGTCCATTCTGGCCACAAATCCCTCAAAACTGGCTCGGAGGTTCAGCACAGAATTAAAGAATTTTTGCAAAATTCTCCAGAATCTCGAATCTTACGTTGAACGTCCTAAGGCTTAGGCCAGGAGAAACAACAACAGCAACGAAGACAACTTACATCTACATAGCGCCCTTCACACCAGATGGTGTCTCAGAACGCTTGGGGAATGTTGCGCGTCAGCAGCAGGAAGCCGTGGCTAATTCCAACCCCCCCCCTACCCCCACCACCACCACCACCACCCCAACCAATCTGTGGTCGCTAAGCTATCTGTAACCTTAATTCAGGGTCTGTGTGGACAACAGAGCAGAATTGACACCAAAAGCACGGGGAGGTAGGGAGGTGGGAGTCACACCTGTTTGGTTGAGGCTCAAATAGATAAGGAAAGCTGTTTCCGCTGGTAGGTGGTAGATATCTTAAGACTCGTGGTCACAGTCTTAAGATATCTACCAAAAGAAGCAGAGAGGAGGTTAGAAGAAATTTTTTCACTCAGCGAGTTGTTCGAATTTGGAATGATCGCCCGAAAGGGCAGTGAAATCCGATCCGATAACAGCTTTTAAGGGAGAACTGGACAGGTATCCGGGGAGGACGGGTTTGCGGGGTTATGGGGAGAAAGCTGGTGATTGGGGTTAGTGAAAGTGACTTGCTCTGTCAAAGAGCCGCACAGACTCGATGGGCCGAATGGCCTCTTTCTGTGCCGTAACGTTCTATGAATCTATGAAAAAAAGAATTATTGCCTTTCACACACAGGGCTTGTTTATGTGTCTGGATCCTTTCGTCAAGCCTTGGCTCCAGGCAGACAAGAGGCTCAGCTGATGAGAAATACGATCAAACTCACAAAGCGACGGGCGGGGAACCTGGCTACTTGACAACCGAAACAGTGCTCCCGGTCCGCAAACAACACAGGCGCACAGAAACACACAGTCAACAACAACAACAACAAGATTCCATTTATAAAGCACCTTTCACGTCAGGAAGACGTCCCAAGGCGCTGCACAGTTGGGTCATGACCCGAGCATTGGGGGGAAATGGTCAGGGTGAGGGGAGGGGAGGGAGCGAGGAGGGGGGAAATGGTCAGGGTGAGGGGAGGGAAGGGAGGGAGCGAGGAGGGGGAAGAGAGTCGAGAGGGGAGCTGACGGCTCGGTCAAAGAGAAACACTTTAACAGTAAGACCCGCGAGGCGCTGTGAGATGCCCGCTACCCGACATGAAGTGGGATTGAGACATTCCGGGACACTACCCCCTCATGAATGGCGCTATATAAGTGCAAGTTGTTGTTGTTGTTGAAGGTGCTGTCCTAAACGTAGCACAGAATGGTTCAATGCATTCACAAAAGGGCGACAGGTACATTTTTTTTTCCTGCCTGAAATCTAAGACGCTGCAGGATTGGGGAAAGTTCCTAAGTCCAGCCTTCAATTCGGAAGCTGAATTTCTGCGATTCTTTTTTTTAAAAAAAAAAAGCCTAAACTTAAGGAATTCTTCACCGTTCTTAAATTTAAGGACCCCCCACTCCCCCCCCCAAAAAAAAAATGAAGCCGAAAGGCTGAGAGAGCAGGGGGTGGGGGAGGGATTTCCCGTTCACAAAACAAGATAACCGTCCGAACATTTCAGGAGCCGAGAAAACGAAATAAGAATGTCCCGGTTTCTCTGCGAAAAGAAAAATAAATTAAACGGAAAACGTCTTTCAAGTTCGGGTTGGTGGCTACGCAGAATTCCCCCGATGATTCAGCTCCAGCGGCTGCCGAAGGCATAATAATAATAAAAGAATGAATAATAGAATGTCAATGAATCAAATTGCATCTGTAATACATGTCAAAATCTGTCTGTAGGCAAATGCTTGCGGAAGGTGTGCCTGGGAACGCCTCTTGCAGCAGCATATAAAGTGCCGAGGTCGGAGTGAGTTCTGTCACAGCTCTCTTGGCTCTCATCGCCAGCATCATGAGTTTCTCCACCTACTCCTCCAAAAAAGTGGTCGGTTCCTCGAGCAGAAGTTCGGGAATGCTATATCCCCGGGCAGCTAGTGTCTCCGGGATGGGCTCTAGCCTGCGAATGTCCTCGTCGAGAATGCAGGGCTTAGGAGGGGGTTTCAAATCAGGTTCAAGCTCAGGTGGATTCATGCTCTCGGGCAGCAGTTCCTCCTATAGCAGTGGTTCTGCCTTTAACGGTGGTTCTGCCTATAGCGGTGGTTTCGCCATTGGCGGAATGTCCGGGGGCTCATTCGACGAGAAGCAAACCATGCAAGATCTCAACACCCGTCTGGCTTCTTACCTGGAAAACGTCCGCTCCCTGGAGAGCAGCAACAAACAGCTGGAGCTCAAGATCAAGGAATACTACAACAGTAAGGGTCCCTCTGGCACCAGAGACACCAACCTCTATTACCAGACTATCGCTGATCTCCACAGGATGGTAAGTACCTACACTGTGACTCAGATGTCCAAACTTTCACCCAATCTTTCCCTGTAAGATAACTTTGTCTTAAAATCTAAGATTGCCCGAAATTATGGAAAATTCTTCCACCCCCCCCGTCTCGATTTGGAAGCCAGTTTTCCGCAATTACTATTTCCTACGATTTTCTACACCATCTTTAAACTTGAAGACAGAGGGATCTTTGTTATCCAAGTTAATGGGACTTGCACGTAATGAGCAATGTTTATTACGTTGAACTTATTACGTCCAAGCCACCTCGTGAAGATCCGTAACTGTGGGTGATCAAAGAAAGTCATTTAACACCGGAACTAACATCTCGGATGGTTTGGTTGTCCAGTTTGATCAATTGCAATCTGGAAAGTATCAGTAAAGGAGTGAGCTGAGCGAGGAGTAACAGTAAATCCTGTGGAGGGCTTTGAAACGCTCTCCTGACGTGAACGTTGCTATGTGAAATGCCAGGATTTTTATTATTGGACGTGATTGCAATTTTGCAATTACCTCAATTGCGATTAGAAAGTCGTTACTTCATAGTAGGGACAAAAAATGGATGGACGAACATGCACTTTAACAGCGCAGTTGCAACTAAACAGTTAAATGAATGCTGCTGACACATCTACTCATTCGGACCTTGTGTTATGTAGTGCGATGGGCTCATTCGGTTTGCCCTGAATTATTAAGGAGACCTGACAATGATGCACTAATCATAATTTTCCCTCTTTCACAGATCATTGCTGCTACCATTGAAAATTCCAGAGTCATTCTGCAGATTGACAATGCCAAGCTTACCGCCGACGACTTTGGCATCAAGTGAGTTTTTATTTTAAACGGAGCGAGAAGTAAACGAAAAATGTGTCTTTTTGTTTTCTTTTTGAAACCAACCGAGGAGGCCATCCCTGAGCATTTGCCTGATTAATTCCAGCTCCTTTGCCTCTGGTCTTTGCGGTCTTGTTTTCTGACTGAACTCCATTGGGATTAGGAAAAGAGCGGGGCAATAGGATTAGAGAGCTCCAGTGAGGACGTGGGATTAGATGAGGCGAGGCATTAAACTCAGATCTCGTCTGCTTGTTTATTTGGATGCTGAAGATGCCCAAATAAAGCTTATCATTTCACTTCACGGGTGTTGTGGGAGACATTGGTGTGCGCAAATGGGTTGCCGCATTTGCCCCACACCCCCACCAGAAAAAATACAGTCATTACACTTTACAGTAAATCCAGCGGAGGGCTTTGAAACCCCATCCTGACATGAAAGGTGCCATGTGAAAGGCAAGAATTATTATGAGACACGAGTGGGAAAAGAGCAAAGAGAATGGATGAGAGCAGAAAGCTCAGGTTGGGAAGGTAGAGGGACAGATGCCATAAACTGAATGGCGCCTGTTCCTGTAAAGATTCAAAGGTGCTTCCATGAATTTGGTGACTCTTATGCGCTAGGTATTCAGTTCCGCTGGGGATTAACCTGCATTGTTAACCCATTCCTATCCAATCCCCAGGTACAATTCAGAGCTGGTCATCCGCCAGGGAGTGGAGTCGGACATCGAAGGGCTGCGCAGGGTGTTGGACGAGCTGACCATGACTAAGAGCGACCTGGAGATGCAGATCGAGAGGCTGAAGGAGGAGCTGATTTACATCAGGAAGAATCACGAGGAGGTGAGCAAAGAGCTGGTGGAGGAAACGCACTCTTGCAAAGTTTGATTCCTGGGCGGGGCGAAACCTTAAGACGGTTTACTTACTCCACACGCCTCGGTTTACCCAGCAGTAAGTAGGATCCCGGTTGTTAGTCGATTGACGGATCGCTTTCCCGGAGTAACAATCCCACCAAAAAAACAATGTAATAAAATAATAATTTGGTCACTTCAATCCACGATGGGACACTGCTGCGCTCAACTGGCTGCCGTGTTTTGTCCACACACAAAATATACGTGGATTCACTCGACAGTATATTCTGTGAAGCGCTTTGAGACACCCTGAAGATATGATAAGGTGCTCTTTAAAATGCAAGTATTATTATTAGTAGTGATAGTATTATTATAAGACTAAATGAAACAATGATTTGTTTTCTCCAGGAACTGAAAATACTGCGGTCTCAGCTGGGAGGCACGATCTCAGTGGATGTCGAAGCTAAGCCCAAAGTTGACCTGGTCCAGATCCTGACAGAGATGAGGCAACAGTACGAACTTCTGGTTGCCAAGAACCGAAAGGAAGCAGAAGATTGGTTCAAGCAACAGGTACTGAAAGGACCTGAGGGGTCAACTTTGATTTTCAGCTCAGGAACGTCAGCTCAGCTGAGGTTAGCTCAGCGGAAGCCCCACCCATCTCGTCTCCAGGCTCGTCAAGAGCGAGCCATGTTTTCAGATAAATCACTGCATGACAGAGCACACACCCAGTTGTGTTCCGAGGGCACTATAAAAAAGCACTCATGCCTTCTACGTGCACAGAGCTAGAGGCATTCTGGCCTCACACATTTCCTGGTGCTCGCAAACTTCACACAAAGACACGTTAACCACGCCGGCACTTTATACTCAAACATCTTTTTTCGCCCACCAAATATACCATCAATTCACTTTACAGTGAAGGGCTTTGAGACGTCTCGAAGACGTGATCAGGCACTGCATCAAATGCAAGGATGATTATTATTATTATTATTACTCTGTGAGACCAGACTCCATTTTTCCTTATCGTCTCGACCTTTAAGGCCATTCCCTTAAAAATGTAAGCTCACGGAGGGAAGATTCTTCAACTCTGCTTTTATTTGGAAGCTGGCCTTCTCCTGTTCTTAAGAAGAACCGGCTTCCACAGAGACCATGGAAGAGTTGGGGGGGGGGCGGGGGGGGGGGGGTCTCTCTTTTCAAAGTGGCTCCCGTTATTTTCTTCCTCTTTCTCGCTCACCCCCATCTCCATTGCTGTAAAATAACAATGTTCAACATGTGAGTGTCCAGGCAAGAGTTTTGGAGGTTTATCAAATAAGCCGAGCGTTAATAGGTTGGATTCTGGAATTGGGGTTGGGGGAGAGAGAAAGACTTAAGTCAATATTTTTCTGAACTGTAACATGTTATTGCAGGTCGAAGTCAAGACCCAGGAAGTCGTTGTCAACACTCAGGCAATGGATGCACACAAGGCACAGCTGACTGAACTGAGACGCACTTATCAGAATCTACAGTTGGAGTTGCAGTCGTTGATGAGTATGGTGAGTACCAAGTGTTCTGGGACACTGCCCCTCGTGAGTGCAAGTTGCTGTTGTCTTGTTGTACCTGATTGACCTACCAGCCAAAAACTGTACTGGCTACAAGGTCCTGTAGATGGCTTATCTGACCTGTGCGTCTCCACGTACAGAACGCCTCTCTGGAAGGGAATATCCAAGAGATAGAGGCACGCTACGGTGCCCAGTTCAACCAATTCCAGATGCAAGTCAGCATACTGGAAAAAGAGCTGATCCAGATCAGGAATAACATACAACAACAGGCCCAGGAGTACTCAGTCCTTCTCAACATCAAAACCAAACTGGAGATGGAGATTGCTACCTACAGGCGTCTTCTGGATGGGGAATCCAGGTAAGAGCAGAAGCAAGGCTTCTTATTAATTCTTCTTTTTTTATTGTTATTCTTAATAACACTAATAAAAAATATTATAATTATTTGTCCGCTTCGAGATATGATACCATTAACAAGTGAATGGCCGCGTTTCGCCCACAAAATACGCGGTTAATCCACTTTACAACATATTCCCTGAATCGTTTTGACATGTCTCAATGATAAGGCGCTATATCAAATTTAATGATTGTCATCGTTATTATTATTCTCGTTAGTATTATTGTTGTTGTTGTTATTGTTGTTGTTGCTGTTATTATTGTTGTTATTATTATTATTATTATAATGAACGCTCATTTTCTCCCAGCACAAGCTACAGAGAACAGTCAAGCAGCCAGACAGTTGTGCACGAGATAACGAAACGTGAGTCACAAGCCATTACTTTTAATCCGATCGCTCCGGGGCCAGTGTTTTTTTAACATCGCCTTTCTTAATATTTCAATACTTAACATAACATATTTAAAAATATTTCACGCGCTTCACCTACAAAATGCACGGTTACTCCACGTTAGAGGCGGTCCTGCACTTTGAAAAATCTCAACGATGTGATAAGGTGCTGTATCAAATGCGAGGATTATTATTATTATTATTATTAATAATATTTTAGGCACTTAACTCACCTACTGGGGTCTATCCGAGGTTGAGCACTTCAACCAGGCATCTTTTCACACTGTGCGGTTGATGCGTTGGGGATCAGTCAGCTGTACATAAAGCTGCGTGGTTAAGGAAACTTAGAAGGGACAAACGGTACGACAGTTAACACACAGAAGAGTACACTTCTTCACGAGTGTGTGCTTCCATTCTGGCTGTGCGAGGTGCTTTACAACGTGAGAAAGGCACTGTAGAAAATTGTTATAATCTGTACCTTTCGCGGACAGGCTCGAGCCAGCAGTGCTGGAGCGTAACTTGCTGCTCAGCTCCAGCCCTTGCGGTTCAAGCTCGAGAACGTATTTATTGCGTCTTGTGCTTAGTGAAGAGAGCGCAGAGGCTGTATAGTTACAGCCCAGAGGGGGAGCAAATCACAGCTGAGCAAAACTAACCTTCCAGCACAGAGAACTTTGGACAGTAATCCGGAGCGAGTGAGGAACTCTGGCTGAGGCCAACTGGAGATTAAACATGGACCCCTTCCTTACTGGTCAGCTTGGCTCGGTGATGTGTTACAAAGGATGAATCTAGATTCATAGATTCATTTATAGTACCGTAGATTCATTTATAGTACCGTAGAAAACGCCAACACAGCAGGAAGTAATTTGATACTTGATATAAATCGAGGAGGAGGTGACCTTAAGTGAGTGTGAAGGGATTTGTAGACAAGTGAGAGGATCTTTGAAATCGATCCGTTCTGCGATAAGGAGTCATTGGAGATGACTGGTTGACTGAGGGCGGATCTAATAATGCAATGTTTTTTGGATAATCTTTTTCCAGAAGAGCCAGTCATCAAAACAAGGAAGAAGGTCGTGACTTTGATGGAACAAGTGATCGATGGCAAAGTTGTCTCCACTCAGATGGAAGAAGTCCTGCACGATAACTAAGATCCATCCTATTCCAGGAGAAACCCTTTGCTCTTTTCCTTTCAGCAACTTCGAAAATTTCAGAAGCCAAGAAACAAGTGCTTGTTTATCTCTTCTGTGTTCTTTGGTATTCCAATAAAGAATGGTGGTGGCACATTGGAATTACTGTGTTGTGTTTTGTAGTATTTAGGTTTTACAATTGCAGTGCGGAGTCCTGTAGCTCAGGGGGTTAGAGCGCTCGCCTCGCAAGCGAGAGACCTGGGTTCGATTCCTGGGCGCAGGTCAAAATGTTGGACAAGTTTCCTTACTCCACACACCTCCAGTGGCAGTGAGCAGGAACCCGGTTCTTAGTCGATTGGCAGATCGCTTTTCCGGGGATAATGATTCCTTCCAAAAAAAAATTAAAAAAAATTGCTCACTTAATCTACGACTGTTTGTGGGGACGCTGCTGTGCGCAATTGGCTGCCGAGTTTCGTCCACAGTCGATTCACTTTGTAGTCCATTCTGTGAAGCGCTTTGAGACGTCCCCCAGATGTGAAAGGCGCTGTATCAAATGCAAGGATTATTATATATTATTATAATTGACTTCAATGTGAAATGGGAGCTGCCCTCTTCCGTGGCAGCGCTCCTCATGTCCGTGTTTCTGGTGGGTTGCAGTTCATAACTGTTTCAGCAGCCGTGGACCACAGCCCACGACAGGTGTGCAGAACCCACAGGTGTCAGCTTGGTTCAGTCGATAGTCCCTGGGTCAAAACTTTGGGACTTGAGACAATAATCTAGCCTGACCCTCCTGGGCACTGGTTTAAGGTGGTTTAAGGTGAATGAGATGTGGAAATCGGGGTCCTGTCTTCCATTCTGGTAGACTTTGAAGATCCCAACAGCACGGTTGGAAAAGGGAAGGTTGTTTCTCCCGGTGACCTGTCTTATAATCCTCCCTACCTCTGTGACCTCCTAACCCCCTACCACCTGTCCGTCCCCTCCCCTCAGTGGGCTCCGGCCTGCTTCATGTCCCCTGCCTCGCCCGCCCCAACATTGGCGGCGGGCCTTCAGCTTCTCTGCCTTCACCCTCTGGAACTCCATCCAATGGTCTCTTTGGCTGGCCCCCCCTCCCTTAATCCCTCCGAGACCCGTTTCAAGACCCTCCTCTTCAATAGTGCCTTCGGTCACCCTCCTACCCCTACCCTGACCGCCCTCCACCCCTCCTGATCCCAACCACCATCTCGGGTGTGGATCCCTGACTCTCCAGCACCTTGGGACGTCCTCTTGACGTGAAATTCGCTATACAAATGTTGCTGTTGGTCATTCACTTTGTGGCTTTAATAGGATTGGATCAGATTGTTAGGGTTGGCTAAAACACAGAGAATCAGTTACCTGGGACATAAAGAAAACTGTCTTGAGATACGTAGAGCAGGGAATTAGGGTTGAAAAGATAAAGAACTGTGATGGGCGCTCGACTGACTGAGAGGGACCCATTCAACAACAAGATTACTGGAGAGAAGTGGAGAATGGTTGAGGATGTTGACCAAAAAACACAATCACAGACATAAAGTTACAAGAGGGTTTGGAGTCAGGGACGGAAGGTTTAAGGTGAAAGGATGTTATTGAGAGTGTTCCAGAGTGGGGCCACGGAGTCCAAAAACACACGGTTTAAGACTCTGTCTGAAAGCTTCGAAACCAGAGAGGTTGAACAACAACAATTACATTTGTATCGTGCCTTTCACGCCAGGAGGCGCTGAACAGATAGGACGTGGAATTAGCGGTAAATCGGAGTTGAAGGCGGACAACAGCGTAGATTCATGGAATCCTACACTCTCCCAAACAACTGCTCGCTCATCCACACAATCGAGCTTCCGCATCTTAGTCGTGTGCAGTGAGAAATCATTCATCTCATGCCAGTCGGACAGCCGGAAGGCAGCAACCGACACAGGAGAACTTTGGCACAGTTGCAACACTGACAGAGGAGCCATGTAGGACAGAGCTATCGCTGTTATGCACCAACCGCCTCTCTGAAATGCTTATCGCCACTTAATCTCTTTGTGTGTCAGCAGGTCCTGGACCCCCAGGGAGATGACAAGGGACCAGAAAATGGGGAGAGCTGCAAAAAGACGGATGAGTGCTACAAATAAACCAAAATCGAGACCAAAGTGAGGTTGTGCATTCAAGCCTCACATTGGGATTAGAGCTCATAATCAAGGCTAACTCTAGAGCCCATTTCTCTGTGCGTCCTGGCCAAAAATGTATGCAAAAGTATACAAAATATATGCAAAAATATACAAAATGCATACAAAATATTCATATGACGTTAATTACATGGAACTGTTGTTATTTTATGTGTTTATGATGGGCAGCTGTGGTGGAAAAGATCACAGACTTGGGGTACGATTCCACCTGAGTTTAGATTTTCTCTATTAATGCAGTGAGGCGTCAGCCTGGCTCAGTTCATAGCACTCTCGCCTCAGGGAAGGTTGTGAGTTCACGCCCAATGTCGGGACTCTGAATGAAAGGTGCAGGCTGATACCAATGAGGTCCTCGGGATGCGTTGTATTGTTGGAGATGCTACCCTTCAGAGTCCTGTAGCTCAATGGTTAGAGCACTCGCCTCGCAAGCGAGAGGAACTGGTTCAATTCCCGGGCAGGGCGAAACCTTGGGCACGTTTCCTCACCCCACACGCCTCTGTTCACCTAGCAGGAACCAGGTTGTTAGTCGATTGGCAGATCGCTTTCCTGGGGGTAATAATTCATTCAAAAAAATAATAATAATTGGTCAGTCAACCCATGACTGTTTGTGGGACGCTGTTGTGTGCAATTGGCGGCCGCGTTTCGCCCACAAAATATACAGTCAATTCACTTTACAGTATATTCTGCGAAGCGCTTTAGGACGTCTTGAAGATGTGATAAGGGGCTATATCAAATGCTAGGGTTATTATTATTATGCTAAAGATCTCATGATCCCATGAGAAGGTAATTTCTGGCCAACAATCACTCAAAATAAAAAAAGGTGGCGTTTACTTCATGGCTGTTTGTGGTACCTCACTGCGCGTAAATTGGCTGCGGGGTTTGGCTACAAAATAAGACCTACTGCACTTTTACAAGAAATCCTGTGAAGTACTTTGATAAATCATGATATGGGGGTTATTATTGTGTCGGCGTCTGGAAAATTTGGCAATTTGTCAAATTCAGTTTTAACTTTGAAGCTTTTGTTTAATAATTCTTGAACTAACGTACAGAAAATTGGCTTCAAAATTCGAGGTTGTATCTCAGAGTTTGACAACTTTTTTTGGAAGCTCTGAAATATTGCGCAATGGGATAAATTTGGACGAGGTAGGAATTTATACGAGTGGTTGGTTTTTTAGTCTACACTAGAGGGCAGCCAGGTTCTATCTCTCAACCCACCACAACAGCAACAACAACTGGTATTTAATACGGGGCTCTTCATACAGATAGCACCTCGGAGCACATCACAGCTGTGCTATTTGCATCAACAACTCCAGGTTCCATGTTCCCACTACTCTGTGTGTGAAGAAATTTCTTCTAACTTCCCTATTTGGTCTATTTGTGACTATTTTATGTTGATGGCCCCTGGTTTTGGTCTCCCCCACCAATCTAAACTTCTTCCCTATGTCTACCCTATCAAAACCTTTCATCATTTTAAAGATCTCTATCAGGTCACCCCTCACCCTCCTTTTTTCAAGAGAAAAAAGTCCAAGTATTTTCAGCCTTTCCTGATAGGTATAACCTCTCGGATTTTTGGGAAAAGTTGGGCAATTATCCTTAGTCCACATGCCTCTGTTTACCTGGCAGGGGGAGTGGAGGAACGAGCAAAGGACCACGTATGGAATGGCGTAGGATAAACACTCGGGTGAGAAGAAATTTATTGGTGAGTGTGAGGACCTTGAAGTTGACCTATTGAGGGATAGAGAGCGAGTAGTGCCTGGGCTGATGGGTGTGCAGAGTTTTCTTCAGGTGAAGAAGCAATGACGGGTGGTTTTATTGTATGGCAGAACTACGGAGGTTGAAAAATCTAGGCCGGAGGTAACAAAGGCGTGAATGAAGCATTTTGGTATGAGTTAGGGGTGGGGAACTAGACAATGTGGCAGAGGTAAGAAAAAGCAGTCTTGGTCAGGGACCAAAGGTGAGGAAGGAAGAGGTTTCACTGCAGATCAAGGAGAGTCAGCAAGTGGCAACTGGGAACTTGGCTTCTCCATTTCGTTGCGCCCACAAACTATAACAGTCGATTCACTTTATATTCTGCGAAGCGCTTTGAGACGTATCAACGCCGTGATAAGGCGCTGTATCAAATGGGAGGATTATTATTATTGTTGTTATCTTCCATGCTAAGACGCAAGAAACTGAGACTCCTCCAGGTCTCTGTGTCTGACAGGAAACAGTACAGAACAACAGTGGAACTTGATTCAAGAATAGAAATGGAGAAACAGATTTGGTATCAACCACAATCGTGTGGAAGTCAACCATTCGGATGATGTCACCAAAAGGAATACGTGGATGAGGGAAAAAAAAGGGCAAATGACTGTGCAGGAGGAAAAAAACATTATAATAATAACAATAATAATCCTTGCATTGGATATAGCGCTTTTCACGTCTTCGAGACCTCTCAAAGCGCTTCACTGTAAAGTGAATTGACTGTACGTTTTTGTGGGCGAAACGCGGCAGCCAATTGCGCACAGCGGTGTCCCACAGACAGCCGTGGATTAAGTGACCAAATTATTTTTATTTATTTTGAAGGCATTTTTACCCCCGTCAATCGACTAGAAACAGGGTCCCTACCTACTGCAAGGCGTGTGGAGTAAGAGGCGTGTGGAGTAAGGAGACTTGCCCAACGTTTCACCCTCCTGGGAATCGAACCCAGGTCCTCTCGCTTGCGAGGCGAGTGGTCTAACCATTACCACAGGACTCATTATAGGTGATGAAGTGGAGACAGTGGGTCAAGTAGGATTGGGACCAGGAGAGCGTGGTCCTGGGAGATGGGTGAAGGAGGAGATGTGATCGTGTGTGAACCGTGTCACAGGTAGCACGGAGATTCAAGGTGGACAAGGTGGCAGAGAGAAAGCTGGTTACAGAGAGAGGGTACATTGCTCGTACTCTGCCATCCATATCTGCAATAAACTCCATAACCCCATCACACCAGTCCTTGCC